TTACAAACCGTTGAAACCTTAGGCCACGCATTCCTCAACAACAATGCCCACTGCTCAATCACTCCGTACCTTGCATTCACCACTTCCTCCACCGCAAGCACCCTCTTGCACCAGAAAACCAAAAAACCACAAAACATCGCCCCAAGAAAGACCCCCCACTTCAGCAAAATCTTCAGAGACTCCAAATCCAGGCCTAAAACCTCACCTTGGTCACCACCCAGATCATTGTTTTTTCACTTAACGATCTGAGAAGAGCTCTAGTACCAACAATGCCAAGTATTCACAATCTCAAAGTGTAAATTCCACCAAAAATGGACGGATTGAAACAGTTCGAGACTATACGACATGGGAAGTGACTACTTTTGGATGAAAATTTTATTGAGCATTTCAAATTTCAATTGTGTTGCACGAAACCCAAACACTTGGATCCGGAAATGAAGGGGGGTCGATTGATAACAGCGGATTTAGGTGCCTCAAGCCCCCACAATAGTCATAGCTGAAGGAAAATGTTAAAAATTCGGAAAAAAAAATAAAAAAATAAAAAAATAAGAAAAAAGAAAAAGGAAAAACCAAAACTGTATTTCCTTTCCCAATCCTATTCCTTCTTCCCGTTGGAATTGAGCATGCTAGGTGACGAGGTAAAAACAGAGGTTGAGGGAGAATAGGATGGGTATTGATGGATTTGCTGCAGATGGAACGCAGGAGTTGGGATCATAATAGAAGAGGAACCCTAAAGAGGTGAAATTGAGGTGATTCTGTGATGCTGATAATGTCCCTTCATCTGTGGAAATGGAGGCTACTTCCATTTGATTCTTTCCGCTGTGAAGGAAGATGTTACCGAAAGCGAGTGCGAGAGAGAGACCGAAGCCCAAATTATAAGAGTTACCCTTCCCAACAAGACTATTAAATGATTCCCCAAGACCATAACCATCTAAAAATCCAGATTCCTCACTAATGAAATGATTCCATCAAAATCCCATCTCAAAATTCAAACTTCCGCATTTCCCCCTTCAGCCCATCAATGTGAAGCAAGAATTTTTATGAGGCTGCTAATGGAAACAAAACTGTAAAGAACATAAACTCGACGTATCTTCGCTACCAGTTTGATACCATACCAACCAGCTTAAAGGAAGTAGATTAATTGGACATGCACATACAGCTAAGAAAGATTAACAGCTTAAACCTTCAAATAAGTCTACTGTCGTACTCGCCCAGATTGTAAAACACTCTCTCAATATATTTTACAATAAAGAAAGACAAAATTACAAAGCATAATAAACACAAGAGAAGGCTGACAATTTTAGACAAGCCAATGCCATCCATAACAAGAACTTCAAACCCAAAAGGCACTTATTCAGGAAACATTAACTCTACAACTAGCTTCTTCTTTGAACAAGTCTTCTGGCTTTCCTCATCTTCCTTCCACTTTGACTTGGTCGCCCATCAAACATAGACACAAACCATTTTGGTTTTCCTGTTCGGAAGACAAGATATCCCATCACCAGTCCAAAAACAACTCCACATCCATAGCCTAACACCACAACTCTCCACCCAAATCTCCACAACTCATCTTTTTCTTGGAAGGAGCTGGGTGGTGTCCCAATTCCATCACAAGATTTTGACAATGGGATTCCACACAGTCCAAGGTTTCCTTCATAAGAACCATTTCCAAAGGTGTTGAACTGACTGCCCAGTGGTATGCGCCCGACAAGATGATTATTTGAAAGATTCAATACAGAGAGTTGTGTCAAATATACCAATTCATCAGGAATTTTCCC